CGCTGGGTTTGCTTGTGTCACAGCTGCTGCACTAGTGCGTATGTTGTCCTAACCGCATTCTTGTAGGCTTGGGTATCCTCCATGTCCATATACCCATGAGCCTTAGCTATCAACTGCTCGTATGTAGAGTATCGCCTTTTGGCGAGCGAGTCGGTCAACTCATCATTTGATAGGCTAGCCACAATGACCTACATGGCGACCGTGCTTCCTAAGTCATCAACCTCCAATCACGTCATTTTGGAACCTCTTGAATTAGCTTCGAAGGATCTCTCCAGGCTCCTGCCTCATTTGTATCAATACATGAGCAGACAATTTCTACTTGGTGTCGGCCAAGATGTGGTGCACAAACTTCTGGCTGAGTTACACCAGGGCTTAGCACTTTCCAACAAGGTGATGGCAAAGTACATGCAGATAATGGCTTCGGGTGCCTACAACATGCTCATCATGTCATAGTAGTTCTGAACATACTTCGCAGGATCTCCCTCACCCTTATATTTCTCTACTTGAGGTATCTTGAATTTCTTACATGGGGCATTCATGATGTCATCAGTGAGAGGAGTGTTTCCCGTATGGCTTCGGCAATTGGTCAGTAAGTACGATCATAGCTGGAGACTGTAGGTAGCTGAGGGGCCTGGAGTGGAATGATAACACCGAGGACTTCGCTGAGCTCCTATGGTAGCATGCTCTCTGCCATCACAACTAGGGTTGGGAACTCTTATTAGCCACTTCCATGTATTGAGAGTAGCGTTGACGAGGATCCACTCGGCGAGTCGGCTGGGGTGGAGAAGGAGAAGCGTGTTCGACTCGGCTTCTCTATTGTCTAATATGAGTAGCATGCAGAGGCAGGGGGAGCTTTAGGCTAGGCTTCTGGTGGAGGATGAGCTGCAGAAGGTTGGTTCCCTGATGGTGGGGGAGCAGCGGAGTAAACGGGCTAAGGAGGAGGAATCCGATGGAGAAGTTCGGTGGTGAAAGCCACAAACTGTTGCTAGAAAGCTTAGGTGATCCGTTGGGTCAACTCTTCAAGCTAGGCTTGAGTGACATAAACTGGATGCAGTGCTCTAGGGATGGACTGATCAGGCTTGTGCTCAGAATCAGACATAATTGCACGGAGAAGAAAGAAGGCCCCACTATGGGAACCAAACTATTGATGGATGATATCAAACAGTCAATGAGAGAAGCAACTTAGTTGATGAAGGTCCTCTAACCCTCCGAATGTCCTGCTCTGAAGTGGGTTGTTCTTCCCCGCACAAGTAAAAAATCATAAGATGACGTAGTTTGGTTCTCTGGTTGTTCCTCCGACGATCAAATCAGTAATATGCTTGAGTGAAGAAGTAACTAAACTGTCGTAATTCTGAAGCATAGTGGGTAGAGATAGAGGTCTTACCTTTATGCTAAAAATAGTAATCATATTTATAGTAGTAGTAGAGTGATAGGATAATAACTTCGATTGAGTATGGGTTGGCGGCCAAGTCAGCGTCTACTTTACATGTGTCGGTTAACGAGTGGAGGAGAGGTCACTTCGGTATTTAATATGAAGTGATTAAGGGCGTGCGTTGTCGACGTGGTCCGATGTGTCATAAAAACTATTGGGGGCAAAAACATAATGACATCCATTATGCATTTAATGACATCTATTTTGAGGTGATTAGTTGCCAGAGCGCGAGAGGGGGCTCGAGACTTGAGGTAGTCGTTGCCTTTCCACTCGTCTAGTGGAAGGTCGAGAAGTACCATCTTTTGAGTCGCCTTCGTGAAATGTCGATCGAATGGTCGGTCGAGCAGGTTGATCAAGAAGTCGACCTAGCCAAGTGTCGATATGTCATGTTTTTTGAGTCGCCCTCGCAAGATGTCGGCGTGTCGAGTCGTCTGAGCTGGGCCTTCGGTTATCTTGAAATGAAGAGCTAGCTCGATTACACATAATATGGGACATTTGTCTGCTATTGATTGGAGATTATTTTTTAGCACTAAAGCGGCTATTGAAACATACGGAAATAGCTCTATATAAAGGGTGTTTTTTAAGATCTAGATTTCAATCCAAAAAATTATGTTATAGAGAACGGCAAAAAGAGAGAAGAAGTGAGATTAATATTTTTTCTAGGATTTGCCAAAAAAAGAAAGAAAGAAAGAAAGAAAAGGTAAATGAAAATTTACAATATTCTTCAATATAGTAAAACTATTCCCTTCCCCCTTCTCCTGTGAACATAAGCACATTATTACCGAACCACATAAATCTCATATTTTTATGGTGTTTGCATTAATTGATTGTTAATTTATTCTTGAGATCATTATGTCATTTCACACTAAATTAATCCTAGGTTTCACAACAGAGGGCAATCTTGTAGTAAAGAAATTGACATGGGTTAGAACGGATATATCGGATGGTAAAAATTGGTACAGAAAAATATTTAACAATGAAACAATCTTCAACGAACTAATGCAAATTAGAACAAATAGAATTTATTACATTTTGAGATCCTGAATTTTGATGCAACTACCCAGGTAATCCTAAAATCTGCATATCTACACGAATAATTTTAAGATCATTGATTCTAATTACATGAATGATCTTGAATCTGATGGTGGCCAAATGCCATTGTTTTGTTTTGTTTTGTTTTTGTTTTTGTTTTTTTGCTGTTGTAAAGTGTTTTTTTATGTTAGCTAGGATTTCTTTTCTTTTTTTCTTTTTTTTTTTTTTGGATGGGGGGTGTAATGAAATTACTTGCTATTGTAGAGTTAGAGTACATTTAGATTTACAACTAAGGAGATAAGTGAGTAATCATTATAGTAAACCTGATTCAAACCCCAAACTTTAATCCCAATCCTAACTAAAACACTAGCCCTAATCCTAGATAATGCTATCTAATATCTTGAGGAAACTCCAAATCAGCAAAGATATCCTAGGGTCATTTATATAATTACAATAGTAATCTGAATGTCAATCATATATATGCGTGGAGTTTAAAGTCACATTTATAATTACACCTTACCTCCAGTCAAAGTACTAGAATGAAATTACTCCTTTCTAAATCCCATGCACCAAATAACTAGTGAAAGAGCTATTAACTCCACCGCCGGTGTAACACAACTCGCGTCCTCTTGATTTGACACAGGAAAAGAAAGTTATCAGACATTGTTTGCTTTCACAACTCTCTCTCTCTCTCTCTCTAAGCTCCCTCATTCTCTCTCTCTAGCTAGGTCTCCAACCTATCTACCATTCTCCTTTCCCCTCTCCTCCCCATACCCTCTGCTCAAAACTTTCCTTTCTCTCTTAGCTGAAAGCCATGGAGCAATTCTCAAACTCGAGACCCACTGCCTTCATGTACTTGCCATCCTCAGCTCAAGAATCACATCCACCTTTCTATAACCCTAACCCTAACCCTAGTTCTCTATACTCCTCCAAGTCCGAAGCAGCAGCGAGCTCCTCACAAAACCCACATGCAATTAGACTTGTCTCAACCGATGACGAGTCCATCAAGGCCAAGATCGTCGCCCACCCTCAGTACTCGGCCCTTCTCAGAGCCTACATGGACTGCCAAAAGGTTTTAACCCGGCCCGGCCCGGCCCGTTAACTGCTAGCTTATCCTAATATTGATGTCAGTTATTTTCATAGGTTGGAGCATCACCTGAGGTGGCGGGAAAGCTCTCGGCGATTGCGCGGGAAATCGAGGCCGACGAGATGCCAGCTCAGCGGACCCAGAGCTTGATCAGTTCATGGTGATTGGTTTTTTATTTCTTCTATATATGTAGCTTAATATATAATTTTGGTTGTTTAATTTCTTAGTAATCTTGAATTCCAGCTCATATATAGCTTCTAAATTTTGGTGAGGTTATAATTTACATTTTATAAAATAAAATACTCTCTACTCTCTCTCGCAGATTGATCGACCAGGGGAAAACTTGGATTCATCCACTGGTTTTTTTTAAACTCGTTTTAAATTTGTGATCAAAGATATTCAGAATCTGAATTAATTGTTCTAGCATCATCTTAGAATGACTTTTACTTCATAAATAAGTTACATTCAAATTATGATTAAAAATAAAAGCTATAGTTTTGTACTCTACTTAGCACTGTACTAATCATTGAAATTAGGGTATTAACTGAAGATTATTGTAAGTCTATACTTCAACACTTTAGTTTTTTCTCTTCTTTTCATGGAAATTTTGTTGCAGGAAGCATATTGCAATATTTTGGTGAAGTACAGAGAGGAGCTGACGAGGCCACTGCAGGAGGCTATGGATTTCTTCAGGAGGATCGAGGCCCAGTTCAGCTCCCTAACTAACGGAGCTAGAACTGTTTCTATATTTTCTTCCGGTACTTAATTAATCACAATCAATCTTTATTAATTAATTAAGCTCTTTGAGGTTACTAGGGTTTCCAGCTTTTCGTTTGCAATAGTGGATTTCATTATAGTACGTACGGTTTTACCACGAGATCAGTGAGAGACTGACTAACACTTGGGGAGTCCCTTTCTTTATGGGGAAAATGAGGTGTGGCTCTTTTCTTTCCTCTTGTGATGTTTTTTTAACTATTCTTTTTTATTTTTTTAGAGTATCTTTTTTATTCTATTTTTGTTATACTTTTCTTTTCTTTGCTATTTTTGTTATACTTTCCTTTTTGATACACTATTTTTAAGAAATTTCTAATATCTAGCCAGTGTATACTTAGAGTAGGAAACATTATATATTAATATAGAACACGTGGGGATATTAGTTCATAGAGCAGTGAGACCGCCAAAAGATCTAACTCGGGAAGAGTTAGAGAGATTATATATATATATATATATGAGAAAAATGGAGAAACTTGGTACCAATTTGTTCCAAGCAACTTAATAGTGATGTGGCATAATCTTGTCCCTACATCTATATTGGAGTTAGTGAATGATGGTTGAGGCTCTATCTTCGAGGTGTGATATAGGGAAAAGATTAGGTCACATCACTACCAAGTTGCTTTAAACAACTTGGTACCAAGTTTCTTCATTTCTCTCATATATATATATATATATATTCATGCTTTGAAATCCCAAAATTGCTCTCGTGCTTTGAAATCCCAAAATTGCTCTCATGCTTTGAAAAATCAAAGGAAATGTACCTTATATACTTGCAAAAGGCAAGGGTAATACCCTCGTAGTTGGAAAAACAATGTAAATGGCCTTTCACTTAGGGAGATCAACTGAAACACCTTCACACTAGGAAAAGTCAACAGAAATGCCTTACACTCGAAAAAGTTCGAAAAAAATAAAATAAAATCCTAACATTGATGCTTTCATTCTCTTAACAATTCAAGCACATTGCCCGCACATGTCGTTCTTTGTTGTGCACGGAAATTGGGTGCACCAGCATATCAGTTGTTAATATTAGCATTACAAATTTTTGAAGGGAGAGGCTGGTGACTAATAAAATCCTTGCTTTCTTAAGGTGACTCTGACGAATAGAAGACCAAATTTTTTTGGGTTCGACACTGAAACCTACCTTCCTCGAAAATAATGTGCATACTGCGTTCTCATCAACAACCTCAATTATTTGGCTCATTCTTCTATTAATTAATTGGTTATAAATGATTTTATTTAGTTAATAGTGACATTCGTATATAAGAAACTTGGGATGCGATTCCAATCACTGTGTCAGGGTATGTGACCTATGACAAGATAGTGATAGGGTGAGTGTTCCCTTGCTCTAGTGATCCTCAGGCACATCGTAATGGGATATGAAATCTCAATGATAATTTCTCTTCTATTTAAATTCAACGGATAAACCAAGTTCTGTTTGATGCATGCGTTAAATTAATAGTTTTTCCGTTGGTGCTTATTATTATTTTTACTCTTAAGACTATTTTTATGATATTGTGTAACACTTATCATAAATATATGGACCTATATTTATAATATTATTGTTCTTTTAACTTTTTAGGATAGATATTCTTAACATTGGAATAATAGTACACGGCACGTGCATATGGACCTATATCATATTAATCATATTAATGCATAAATCAATCAGTTTTGTACTATATAGGAGAGTAATGATTTATGATCTGAGCTTTTATTGCTGAGTAAACTGTCTTCTGCTCCGTTATTGGAAGTTCACATGTTATTGTTCATGATAGTAGCTCTACAGGGGAACATAGTATTACACACATATCCCAAAATACCACATTAGCAACCAGTGGGTAGATGTAGGTGTTGAGGTAACTAATATGTGAGTATATCTCACATCAAATAGGATAAAGAAAAAGTGAGTTTAAAATAAGAGTAGGTGTTAATATTTAGATATTATAGGTTTAAATTGATTCCTAGACTCTATTTAAGGCTCATTAATAGTCAATATATCGGGCTCAATTTCTTCTCAACACTAGGATCCATGAAATAGTGGGATGGACAAATAATAAATAAGTAGAGTATAATCCCTCGTTTATAGATAAAGAGAAATCACTGGTTCATTTGAAGTTGCCATGTGACAATTAGTGGTTTACCCTAAGTCGATCGCCATGTGTAAGTTGAGATTTATGAACAAGTACTCTCTTTTGATTAGTTTAAGGGGAAATTGCTTCTAGCCTCCAATTTTATTATAAGTGTTATACCCTCTCCCAAGACTTTTTCAACGCTCTCAAAACCCCCAAAAGCAAACACATAATTTCTTGAGTCCCCAAAACACAAAACCCAGGAGTTTAAAACATGTGAAGACTATAATTCTCTCTCTCTCTCTCTCTCTCTCTCTCTCTCTCTCTCTCTCTCTCTCTCTCTCT